TTCCAAATTTCCAACCTGTACATATTTCTGTATTGTGTATACTTTAAACAAATAGATACGGCTGGATGGATGTATTTATTTTAGCAATTTTTGCAATTTTGGAATTGCTTTTATTTTCTAGGCTGTAAACTTGACCTGACACTTGTACTTTAATCTTCCTCTTGACTACAGTAGGACTCTACATATGCAAAAGACACTTGATTGAACTATAAATTTTTAGGAGAGAGTTTGATGGTTTAGGATTATTTGGACTCTCCATAAACAAGTGGAAAACATATTAGATCATTGAACACTAACAGCAACTGGCAACAAGTAAACACCAGCCTAGTAAAGTTCTGTAAGATTTTTAAAAGCACAATTTAATTCCTAATATTATTTAGGATTTCCAGTTTTTGCTTGAATTTAGTCATTTGGTTTGTTGTTTCCTATAGGTCAATACCTTTCATAATTCTGACCAGTCACTTCTGGATCCACTGTGCAGTGTGACGTGTTCCTATAAAATATGTTCTTTGTTCCAGGCGGGATTTTAAGCAGTCTGGCTATAATTTACTAAAGTTCTGTATCTTAGTCGAACTAATTGTGAGTTAATTCATTATACATAATACAGGCTATTGAATTGCTACTGAATTATAAGACTTTGCAACAAGTAATATTGTAATTTTAATATATTAGACTATCTTTCTGGTAAGTAGTATAAATGTTTCAAAAGTTAATAATAGTTAACAAGTTAATTACACAATACATCTTCTTATATAGCTTCTACAGAACATTTATCTGTGAGAAGGAAGGGTAAACTTCAGAAAATGCAGACAGTTTTATAACAGTATGATTCCATAGAAATTTATTCTAAATTAATTCTCTAAGATTAATTAGAAATGTGTTAGAAAGATAAGCTATATTGCAAACTTATATGAAGAATGACTGATATGAAGAATCAGCTGAGTAAACACAACATGTAATAAAGAAGAACATATTTATTTTTTTCTAAAGTGGTGTTTTGATTCTTCTTAGCAAAAATAATAGAAAGAAATATATTACTATTCTTTAGAAAAAAAATCAGCTAATATGTTGATAGCTCTGATTTTCGAATTAGGAGTGTGCAAATCATAATTTTAAGTACAGCCAAAGAAAAATAATGTTTATATGTCACCAATGATAAATGTTTGTCTTATCCACAGTAATGCTGCAAAGGATATCCCCAGGATTATGGGATTTTTTACCATGCAAATCTCATAAAAGATGGAGATAAGAGGCAGTGAACATCTGTGTGCATGAAAATCAACAACCAAAAAAAAGAAGTTAAAAATCATGTGGCCATTTAAAAACAATAAAAAAGGCTGTCCGGCTCATCTATGTTGTATTTAAAATGTCTTTTCTATATATACTGATTGAAACCTCACAACTTATTTTATGCAGTTGAATTATTTAAGATTGGTGATGTTAGATCCTATAGCATTGTAAAATACAGAAGCCCATTAAACCTATGATATGCTCACAGTATTGAACCAGCATAACTTCGTCACTGAAGTCTCTGAAAGTGTTGTAAATGACATAGATTGCCATTGTAACGTTCACAGGAGCTGTGCAATATTCCAACTAAACATAGGTCTTCTTTGCTGCCTGTCATTTCTCTAAGGGGAAAACAAATCTCTGAAATAGTTTTGGTAGTAATTAATAAGAAAGGTGCCAGTAGAATAAACCTGATTAGCAAATTAGATTTCATGTAAAATCTTAAATTGACCAGCATGATGCAGAGTTACAAGCACAATTGGCCAATATTATCACATACTGTTTAGAACAGCACTGATGGTCAGTAAATCATGCAGTGAGTTATTGTAGCCATTCATCTGTGGGTTGCTGGGGCATCAGCAACATAATTCAATTTTGAAGGTTTCTTATTGTTTAGACTCCATTGTAAAATCTATTGATTATCCATGTGCGGTATGATTTATTCTTTCATCTACTATTTGTGCTCGTGGTAATAGCATACTGCAGCCATGGATTGTGACAGAATTTTAGATTACCTACTTTATTGTTATTATCTATGAAAAAGCAATAATAAAATTTGTAAAGGATCATAAACTTACTATTCATGTCGTTCTAAAGAGATTATTATAACATCATTATTTTACTAACATTGCCGACTTTAATAAATTTTGTCTGAAGCACTGACAAAATTCCATGAAAAGGACTGAATATAGAGCTTTAAAAATAATCACTTTCCTAGAAGACTTTAATATTTTTTGCACTTTATTATTTTAAACCATCTGATACAAGAATCAATTGAGCTTTTTTTTTTCTCTTTTTTTTTTCTTTATTATTCTGGCTGCTCCAAGCTTTTAAATGAAGGATTCTTTAGTCAGTGATAATTGTGCGCATCTAGGATTTAATTCACTTGCCTAAACACAGTTATCTAGTACCATTTTCAATGCAAAACATCCACATGAAGCTGGCAGATGTGACACTAGTCCTGCAGGATTCCCATACCCTTCTGGGCAGGCAGCTATATGGCATCTAAAATGATATTAAATACTATTTAGGCAACTAGATCAAGCCCCCACAGCAGATGGTACTTTCTTTGCATTCCTTGTGTCTTCTAATGAAAATGAGGCATATTTTTAAAATTTACAGTAAGATATTAAAAGATGAATTTTAGCTTTCCACATGTTGGAGCCTACATGCGAACTAGCATCCAAAATGCTGTTTCAACTAGCTGCCTTTATGTGGATGTCTTAGGCAATGGGGATGTGCTTTCTCATCTGTGGCTCTACAAAGACACGGGTCTCCTGTACACATCGGCTCAGCTGCCAATATGGGATTCTGCGCAAATGTCTCAGATCTGGGGAGGCATCTCAAACGGCAACAGGTGTTGAGGTTCAGACAACTCACAGAGCTTCCAGTCAACATAGCTGATTGTAGCTGATGTTGGAGCTTGAGCACTGGCACTACTGTGTCAACTTATAGGATGAACTGAGCACCCTTAATGGTATCACCTAGGTGTCTACTGAGCAAGATGGGAAGCTAGTTCCATACAGAATCCAAACTTGAGGTGTCTGGCTTTTGAAACAAATCAAATCCTTTTCAGAATCACATAGGAATTCTATAGAAAAATTCATTTTGAGTGGTATGCACTTGTATCTACCAGAATAAATGAAAAAAAAAAAAAAAAAAAAAAAAGGTCAGATCTCATGTAACTCCCTTTTCTGTAAGCAAACAGACTTTTTTTTTCTCATTTATATGAGTAATAAGAGAATAATAAAAAAAAAGGTAGAAAAATCCTTCTGTCGACTTCATGGTGATGTGAAATATGAAACTAATAGTTAATAGATAACAGAGGAACAGAGGCAGTTAGAATTATAAGCAAGTTTCTTATTTTTACTGGAGGATACAAAGAAGGCATAGAAAGTATGACACATTTAATTTATCTTTGTAGTCTTTTCTCTTCATAAAAGTGCAATTTCAAACTGACCAAAGTCAGTGAGACTCATTTCATTGACCTTAACAAGTTTTTTATCACAATAGAAGACATCTAGTCCTGTGCGTAGCTATATGTTAAAGATGTGCTTGTCTGTTTTACTCAATAGATGAAAATAATTCCAATTGTTTTGCTGTTCCTTTCAGCTAGTGAGTTGATACCTGGCTTCAAATTGCTTCAATAATTGGCTGACATAGATTAACACAATTTCATTCTTCCTGTTTTTACCAATGATGTTTGGGCAGTATTGACTTCTTCCTTTACTGTAGTGTTAGCGACAGTCCCATTTAAAAAGGAAATGTAAAAAATAAATGAGGACAGACAAAAATATACAAAACACCAAATGGGTTAAGTTGCCTTCTTTTTGTTTTTAAGTAGAATTTTAAAGCTAAGGTATTAGCTTTCTTAATGAATGAGTAAAAGAAACTTACCAAGACATATTCATCAAGTAAATGGGTCAATATGTTTAAAATGTGTTCCTAAGCATTTTCATTGTCAATTCCTTTTGATCTATATATTTCTCCTTTGCCTTCCCTGGTGTGCAATTTTCTCAGGCAGATCTAGGAAATACTTAAGTGCAGAGATTTTTGCAGTTTTTTGCTCTGTTTTGAATGCCAGCATTTTTTTCACTGTAAATAGCAGATCAAGTCAGGACATAATGCTTTTCCGGTATATTAAAAATCATGATAAATGCTACTCAGTTTACCTTCACAATGCTTACACATTGCTTGTCACATAAAACAACATATAGGCATATCCCTTCAGTCTTTATGGGTATTTCAGATGCTGAGGCTTGGGGAGAGTTTCCAAGCGCAGTGCCTAATGGGAGCAGTTTTGCAAGTCCCATGACTTTGACCATAGCAGTTGCCAGACTAACCAACATCACTTAAAAGCAAGTTCCCACCTGTGTATAATATATCCCCTTCCTATGGAAGACAAGAAGACAAACTGCTCTTGAACTGCTCTGTTCATTTTTAATGAAACAGAAGAGTTGTTTCAGTTGTTCAATATCATTTTTACCCATCTGTTTAAAATGGTAAGAGAGAAGAGGAATGACTTGAAGTAGAATGACTAAGAACAACTAATTTTGCAGCTCATATCAAAAAGTGATATGAGAGCTAATGTGTATTTGCATATACAAGTACAGCTACAAATAGGTACAGTAAGAATTTCTTGTATTCTGTTAATAGTGTACTGTACATTAGTGTATAGTATTACACTTACTAGTGTACTATACATTAATAGTGTACTTAATAGTGTACTATACATTTCTCTTTATATTGCCAAGAAATACAGGGATTATTTATTGCTTTGTAACATAGCTTGTAAAGTGTTATTGCCTGCACACAAAAGTTCTTGCGGGTTGTGGCTAGATTATCGCTTCATAAGAACTAAGTAATAATCTTAGCAAAAATGCATTCAGGATAAATGTAATATATTATTATTATTATGTGATGAGTTCTAACTCCAGTTGATAATGGTTTTAATCTTAAATTAATGATCTTAACATTTTTTTTTATTACAGAAACCTTTGAAATGCTGATCAAATTGGCTGAGAATTACACAAACACGCTGTTCTGCAATGCATATAGGAACATGGCTCTTGAGACTGCTACGCACATTCAGGAGTTTTTCACTGATGTTGGGCTCTTCATATTTGGCACAGATGTTAGCACAGAGGAATTTGTCAACAGATTTTTTGACACCCTCTTCCCAATAGCCTACAGCCACATGATTAAGCCCGGTCTGACGGACGTTTCCCTGGAGTATGCCGAATGCCTGCGAATGGCAACGAGGGATATCAGGCCTTTCGGCAGCATCCCCAAAGTAATCGCAAGGCAAATGGGAAGATCCCTGTTGCCCAGCCGGACTTTCTTGCAGGCTCTGAATCTGGGCATCGAAGTGATCAACACAACGGATCACCTACATTTCTCCAAGGACTGCAGCAGAGCATTGCTGCGGATGCAGTACTGCCCCCATTGCCAAGGGCTGACGTTGAGTAAGCCGTGCATGGGCTACTGCCTCAACGTGGTTCGGGGCTGCTTGGCGAACCTGGCAGAAGTGGATCTTCACTGGCGGGGATATATTCAGTCCCTGGAAGAGCTCTCAAGCGCCATGCATGGGACATACGATCTCGAGCACGTGCTTTTAAATTTTCATTCACTTGTTAACGATGCTCTCATACAAGCCCAGATCAATGGCGCAGAATTATCTGAGCAGGTAAGAAGTTATCTTAAATCAATGGTTGGTGTAAATATATAAAATTAGAAAAGTAACCATGATAACAAAAATGACTTGGCCATTTTTATGCTGATGAACACATTTGTGTTAAGCGGCATTTGGCAATGTATTTCTCCAGCACAGTTGGTTTTTATTTTAATCACGTGCATTAGTGGCTAATTTTTTGTATTCTCTTCACAAGTTTAACAAAAAGTGGGGATTCAACATTTTGGTAGCATTTTCTGAAAAGACTTTCTCAAAATGAAAACCTATTTTTCATGTGTGTATTTTTTTTATGTGAATCATCAAAACATTTGAAGTAACATTGAAAAATGTTACCACAGCTTTATCAGAGTTTTGTTTTCGTTGAAAAAGTCAGTGGAAACTTCTGCTCATTCTACCTTCTTTATTTTTAACAAATGTACTAAAAAGTTTCCAGTTTAATTTTAGGGCTGCTACTTTATGTTTTATTGGATAAGAGTGAACACAGGTATGTGTCAGTAAGTTTGGAAGCTTAAAATATTAACAAGAGGAATGTAAATTATCTATCTATTTGATGAAAAACTACTTCCACAAATATTATTTAAAAAAATAGGCAGAGCTATAGGTAAATGCAAGTGGTAAGTCTAATACACAAATTCAAGATTAATATCTGTTTAAAGATTGGAAACTTCTTACATGACATTTCTAGACTGTGATTTTGAAGAGTGTACAGGCATTGCCCCAGGTTTATAGTCTCTCAGTCTATCATTTTGGTTCTTTCAAAATGAAAAATTGAATTTGCTGACATGGTATCTTTCATTCAGTTTTAACAAAAAGTTAACGGGTGAAGAAAACTCCTTTCTCCATCCTTTTAGGCTAATACAAAATTTAACTTGATTTAGATTTATATGATTGATGCTTTATTTTGATATTCCTGAAAAATCTTTGCCTTTGTTCTCTTCCTCCCACATCAGCAGCTTTTTAGATTGTGTAGTAAAAAAAACACATTTTTTTTCCTAACATTGCACACAATGCCACTGAGTGTGCTTACACTCTTGTTCATGCATGTAAAAGAAATCATGAAAATGTGATTTGAGGCTAGCTTTCTAAGTTAAAAATAAATATATAAAGAAGATGATTAAAGAAGTTTTTTTTTTTAAACCTGTGATGTTTGGAGTCAGTATGTTTGTTTTAAGATCAGGTGTTTGCAGTAATGCTTTTAGGTTAAGATCTTCTCATACAGAATCATTTTCAAACTGTAAAAGTTAACAAGAAAATTTCATTCCAAATGAATGTGGGTCAGGACTATGTATTCAGGCTGTTCATTAACCCTATGGCATCTTTCACATAATTTCTCTTTTATCGCCAATCAATCTTTCTCTCTTTGATCTGTCATTCTGTCAGATAAGAGAATGATGCATTGATCCTTTGAAACATAGTGATCTAGTTGGTCGGTTCTGATCTGCTGACTGTGCCTTGAGTGTATTTCAAATTTGCCGAGATACTCAATATCAAGAGTTAATTCTGACATGCAATATTTTTTTCAGCTTTTAGAAGAAGACCTAAATTCTGTTGAAATTGGCTCATTAATATTTCTTTATCTTCAGTGACTCGTGAACTGTTTCAAATTTTGACAAGCAATTAATGCATCAGTGATTCTAATATACAGAAAAGATGATTATGAGCCAGCAAATAATGGCTTGCTTAGGCACTAACCAATCTCCACAGTTTTAAAACTGAATTTCATCATGGTGAATATTTATTGGAGCTTTAGAGAAGCAATGTATGGAAATATGGATGTGCAAATGTTCATGTAAGAGTCAACTGTGCGTACTTTTTAATGGTACATGTATTTGTAAGTATATATTATTATATGTATGTTTATATCTTTAAATATACTTAACAGATTTTGTCTAATATGTTGCAGGGATATCTCTATTCAAATTTAATATATATTAATACGTAACTCTGATCTGTGGTGTGGAAAGACCACCAATGTCTACCTAGCATGATTTCCCAGTTCAAGACTCTTTCCAGTAATGTACAACTTGTTCTCTTTACTGTAGCTCTGTGGGTCAGCAGGGCAGTGCCACACTGCT